TCGGCGCCCCTGGCCCACGCCGAAGCCGACGAGGGCGTAGATCGGCCCGACCAGCGGGCCCAGGCGAAGGCGAACGGATTCTTCGCCCACGGAGGCGGCGGCGGCAAGCCAGAAACGGCCGCGCACTCCGGCGAGCCTGAGCTGCACGAAGACCGCGTCCCGCCAAGCCAGGTCGAACCCGTGGAGCAGGTCCGCTTTCTGGATGATCGTGCGCCGCCCCTGCCGCAGGCGCACTTCAGGGCGAGCAGGAGTCCGACGGCCATGAGGCCTGCGTCGAACCTCCCGCCGGCCTGCTCTTCCCCCGCAAAGCGTTCCAGGAGGGGGCGGGTGACCGCCAGCCACGCCGCATCCAGGTACCCCTCCAGGTCGTCGACGTAACTGATCGGCCTAAGGTTTACTACGTCTGAGACGACCAGTGGGCCTTTCTTCCTCATCGGCGCGACCTCTCTCACCCACGCTGAGGCCCCCAACCCGACCACCAGGCTGATTCAGCAGCGCCCATGTGGCCAAGCGGCCGCAACCTCCCGTGGCCTTGGCCGCGGCGCGCGGGAGGTGCAACGTCCGCCTCCCTGCCTTGGAATCACGGACCACCTGTTCCACGATCTCCAGGGAGAAGGGGTCGCCCTGCTCGCCCGCCGTCTCGCGGAGGGCCTCCGCCTGCGCTGCCCGAGCTGCGTCGCGCACGGCGGCGGAGAAGGCTGGCGAGCCGGGCCCTGCGTCTCCCCCCCGGCCCAAAACCGCCTGAGCCACCGCGTGGACCGTCTCTTCGGGCCCGAGCCGCGCGCCCGTCTCCAGGTCGCAGAGCGCCACCTGCAGGGCGGCGCGCGGCCGAAGGAGACTGGTCAGGAAGCTCTCGGCCTTTGCCTGGGACGTCGCCGCAAGCTCAAGGTAGCGATCGAGTGCCCGATCCCGCTCCGCGGCCCGCCGCTCATCGAGCTCATCTCCGAGTGCGAGGTGGTCGGCCTCCAGCGGCGGCAGACCCACCGCGATGGCCATTTCGCCCTCGCGCCGGTCAGCTGCTTCTTGGGCGCCCCAGCTAGCCTCCGGCGGCCGCCGCGCCGTTAGCACGAGGTCGCCATAGTGCCCTGCCAACGTGTACAGGGCCGATCGCCACCATACCGCGCGGTCTAGCATCGCCTGCCGCACGCCCTTCCGCGACCCCGTCGCCGTCCACGCCCGGATCGAGCTGTTTCGCATCGCCGCGCCCGCCCACCCAGTGAGAAAACGCAGGCATTCTGGGATCTGATCCAGGGCACGGTCCCAGTCGGCGTCGCGACCCCACCTGCTGCCCCCCCACCTGTGGGGCTGGCGCTGCCGCCAAGTCCGTCGGGATGACGGCCAGGAGGCGCGCGTGGTCCCCGGGCACTCCTGGAGACCCGCACGGCGCCACCATAACCTGTGCGTACAAGTCGGGCGACGAAGCCACCACGTCGATGATAGTGCCAGATCTGTGCGTCGCCACTCCGACGGGGCGACGGGGTTGCGTAACACAACTCCAAGCCCTGAGCTGCGCGTCAGAAGGTCCAAGACCTCACGGTCTACTAGCGACTCCGCCCCCCTGTTGGCCAGCCCCAGGCGACTGAAATGCAGGTTGAAGTCCCTGGCCACCAATACCCGCCAGCCCCGGTACCGCGGCAGCGCCTGCAATTGCAGGTATTCCGCGAGTCGGGATTGCCAGAACTGCCGGCGCACGTCTGCTCCATAGTGCGGCGGTGGGCCGTACACCCCTAGCAAGAGCGCGCTGCAACTACCCACGGCCGGCAGCTCGCACCAGATGGCGCGCGCATCGCCCACGCCGTCGATAGGCCCGACCGTCCCCCGCAGCGGCTCCGCGACAAGCACCGCCACGCTTTCTGGTCCGTCGCGTCTTTCGCCATGGAACTGGAAGCCCGTCCACTCAGGCCAATGCAGCCCTGGCGCCACGCGCGGCTCGGAGATGACCGCCGCGACCGCGCGTTCCTCGTGGAGCCCAGCTGTGACCGCCGCGATTCTCCCGCTGTTGGTCTCCATGCCAGCCCCCATCCGGAATGCCCCGGCCACGTTCAGAGCAGCCAATCCCCGTGACGACTGTGGACTCGGGGGGCGGGGGGGCCGGGCACTGCGACGCTGGCACCCCGCCCTCCCAGGGGCCAAACATCGCGTTAAGCGGGAGCCCCGCCGCCCGTTGGGCAGCCCGATCCTCGGCCCTCTTGAGGGCCTCCTGCACGGTAGCATCGAAAATACGGAAGCCCTCGAAACCCTCCGGAACGTCGCGGTCGCGCAGCCCGTGGCGCGGTCGCGAGTCCAGCAGTGCCCGGGCGTCCCGCCTCAGGCACAGCGCCGCCCATCGCCCTCGAGCGCCAGCATCTCCAGGAAGTGCCCCCCCTACGAGGCCCAAGAGTTCCTGTCGCGCCGCTGTCGCGGCCCTCGGGGACCCCCACTCCTGGAGGTCAGCGGTAGAAGGTGCAGCCATTGGCCCCGTAGCGCGCCGCTGGGCCCGTCCCGGGCGTTGGATTACGCCCCACTTGAGCCAAAATGGCTACGGACAAGTGGGCGCAGACCCCTGCGGCTTCAGACCGGGTGCGCCACACGCCCCCCTAAACAGAGGGTCCGGCGAAGGCCACTTAGAAAATCACGGTAGGGTGGGGTCCAAAGGCCGCGCCGATTCCGTGCCCCAGGCTCCGCGCGGGGGGCACCCCTTCGGGGATGCGCGGGCTTCCCCCTGGACACGACCACACGTGCGCGCGGGAGGCCCCCAAGGCGGCGTACCTGGGCGACGCGCCCCGCACGGGAAAAGATGTTCAGGCAAATTTCCAGGATTTGCCTGATCATCTTTTTGGTCATTTTCAGGCTGGGGGCCTAACTCCGTAGGTGATGCGAGGCCCGGCCCCTCCAGAGCTGAAAAAACTGAAGCAAGCCCCGGCCCCTCCACGCTGCCGACCCATCCCAAACGCCATCCCACCCCAGCCACGACCGGCTCCAAGGGGTCTGCGCCGAGGTCCAGGCCGGAGCCCGACCCCCCTCTCCACACTTCAGAGACTGCCGCAACAGCGCCCCCCGCACAGAGCAGGTGCGGGGAGGGGTGCCCAACGCCGACCCAGGAACTCCACACAGACCTCCAAGAGGGAATCGACCAGGAGGGAGAGAGGGAGGGAGGGCGGCAAGAAGCGCTTCATCTTCGCTCCAAAAGGGGTCCACCCGGAAAGAGAAGAGGCCCGAAGCGCACTCCGGCGGGCCAGGAGGCACTCCCCCGACCTCCCGAGCAGACACCCGCGCCCGGCGGCCACCGAGGCGGGCCCTCCCGGGCCTCCCGGGCAGTTTTCGCAATACCAAACGGGGGCACGTTTGGTGCCTCAAAAACTGCCCGGGGAGCCCCCGGCAGGGCCAAGACGCGCCCGGCGGCCACGGCGTCGGGCTCGGCAGCCCCCCCAGCAGTTTTCCCCGTACCAAACAGGAATCTGTTTGGTACCTCAAAAACTGCCCGGGGGCAGGCGGCAACCAGGGGCGTCCCTCCGAACCTGCGGCGGCGGAGCTCGGGGGCGAATCCCGACGGACCGCAGCCGCTGCACGGCCGGGAAGGCGTCCGTTCACCGAAGCGCCGACGAAGACGACGGCGACGACCACGACGACGACGACGACGACCACGACGATGACGACGACGACGACGAGAGCGGGAGCAGGAACGGCGCAAGCGCCAACGACGACGACCACGGCGGCGGCGGCGGCGGCAAGGACAGCCAAAGCAGCGGCGACAAGACAGCACAGCGGCAAAAGCGACGACGACGGCAGCGCAGACGGCGAAGGCGGCGGCAAGGAACCACCCCAGCCCATCCCACCCCAGCGAGGACCAGGAGGGAGGGAGGGAGGAGGAGAGAGGAGGAGGAGGAGGAGGAGCGGCGGGAGGGGGGAAAAGTATCGAATTTCCCCCCCCTCGACCCTGCTCGTCAGATCGTCGAGGCCCTGTGCTCCTGAGGACGTGCGCCCTCCATGGCAGTAGGCGCCGAGGACCTCCCCAACCTTTACCTCGTCGTGGCAATCTAAACGGTCGCTGGCTGGGCCGGTGACCTGCGAAGGCCTCCGGGGCCCTCCGGAAGGGCACCGATGACTGGCCCGCCGAAGGACATCACCGTCATGCTAAGCCTCACGTGTTGCACCGCACAACGAATCGCTCAACATGGCCCCTCGGAGTCGACCGGGGGAACACTGTCCGAGGGTGGGCTGGCATCCCCCAGAAGCGTTTCCTGTGACCGTGGCCGAAGTTCAAACGAAACCAAGTCACTCAAAGGGTCCCTCGAGGTCTCCCGGGGCATACATACGGTTTGGTCGGGCAATGCCTTGCAGAACCCCCGCGCACCAGGGGAAGAGGCAAGAATGCGCGGCCAACGGATGGGCTGGCATCCCCCAGAAGCGTGTCCTGTGACCGAAGCCGCAATTCTAACGAAACCAAGTCACTCAAAATGGTCCCACACGGTCTCCCGGGGCACACATACGGCTTGGTCGGGCGAGGCCGTGCAAAACCCCCCGCACACAAGGGGAAGAGGCAAGAATGCGCGGCAAAAAGAAATTGCCATGCCTGGGTCGCGGGCTCTTTTGCCACTGCCGTGCCCCAGTCCCCCGCTGGCTGGACAGGGCGGCGTCGTCCGAACGTCGGTCCCAAATCGGCGCTGGAAGTCGCACTCCCCGCAGCTGTCACTGTCCAACGGCGGCCCCGAATACGAGCTCGGACACTGTTCCCGGATTCCCAGCATGGGCCTGTGCCCAGTTCTCCACCCTGCCGCGGTCTCCACGGGAGCCCGGGGCGGGAGGTGGGGGGAAGAGTGCGGCCGCGGGGCGACAGACGACGCTGGAAAGGGAGAGCTTTCATCCGTATCTCTTATCCGAACACGGCGGGCGCTCCCTGCGCCTGCCGCTCCCCATGGCGTGCCGTGCTACGCCGTGGACCGCTGCAGGAATGTGAGCATGCTGCCCCCTCCTGTGCCTGGCTGGCCGGTGACGCTCACTACGGGCCCCAGGCAAGAGACTCACGCCTGCGCGAACTTGACGAAGTTCTGTCTGATCCCTTTGGCCGTCACGACCTTCGTGGCCTCCCGTACCTGCACGCTCACTGTCGTGGCCCGGCGGTACGTGTGCCTTGACGGGAAGTGCACGCGGACCAGCAAATGATCGTCCCCGCCGCGTTCCGCGTAGTAGCAGCCGCTGCCCGGCTTCCTGCAGATGCCGCCGGCCCTCTCGACAAGCGGTTGGCACAGGATCTGCACGCCCCCGAACATGGACATCGCCTCTGCCAGCGCCTCGATCGAGTCCGCCGGGCGCGAAAACTCCACGGTGAGGAACGGGGGCAGCCCGGCCGCAGTCGCCTTCGCCGTCCCAGCGGCGTCGTTCAGGCGCGACAGGAAGGATTGCGCATGCAAGGTGGTCTGCTCCGCTGTCGGCGCTGCGACGGCGTCGTCCGCCCTCGCCGCTGTGCCTGGCGCCGCGGCTGCTGGTGCCGCGCCGCCGCGGCGCGCCAGCTTCCCCTCCACCGCTGCGACGGCCTGCTTAACCGCCTCGCAGGCCGCGTCCGGCGGGGCGCCCGCCTGCTCCGCCTCGGAGAGGGCCTGGCGCACGCGGTCCGCCAGTTCCGTCGTAAGGAGGTCGTCCTCCTCGGCTGAGCCGGCGAGCGCCGCGACGTCCTCCCCGGCCTCGGCCATCCGGGCGCCATCCCCGCCCGCGAAATGTTTCTGGTGCTCAGTCGGGACGTCGGCCTTCGGCGCCAGGGCGCCGAAGGTGAAGGCGCCCTTCGCGCAAGCCGCCGCCCGCCCGCCGAGTTGCCACGCGGCGAGGAAGGAGTTGCCCGCCGGCGCGCCCGAGCCACGGCCGCCTGCGCCCGCGGCGGCGAGCGCCGGCGCCTCGCGCGGCTGCCCCTGCTTCCCGGGCAGTTGGGCTCGGGACGGCGGCGGCAGCAACGGGGGCGGTGCCAAGCCTGGTGCGGTGTGCCCGGGGCCTGGGGGGGCCACGGTCTTCGGCAGGGCCTCCTGCCCGCGTGGCGGCGGAGCGTGCCGGTTCGGCTGCTGCGCGTCGGCCTGTTTCTGTGGCAGCAGCTGCTGCTCCAGCAGCTGCTGCGGCAGTTGCCGCGGCTCTGGGCGCGCGGTCGACAGGGGGCTCGCTGCTGTCTGCGGCTGCGCCTGCTGATCGGCGAGGGCGCGAGCGGTGTCCCAGGGCGGCGGCATACTCGGGTGGTCGCCAAGTTTGCTGCCTGGGAGGCCCTGCGGTTGCGCCTGCGGGAGCCGCATCAGCGGTGAGAGCTGCTGCGGTGGAGGCTGATGCTGCTCCTGCTGGCTGGGGGGCTCCAGCTGGGCGGCGTTCTGCTGCATCTGCTGGAGGAGGAGCTGTTGTTGGTGCGCCTCCTGCTTCTGCTGGTCTGGCTGGTGCGTGGGCGCCAAGTGGCCCCCTGCCTGCAGCGGCAGCAGCCCTCCTGGGGTCGGCGCGAGAGCAGCGGCGCCCGGGGTCGGCGCGAGAGCGGCGGCGCACAGGTAGAGCGGCGGGAACGCCGGCGGGGGCTCGTGCTTCGTGTGCTCAGGTTGCTGCTGCGGTTGTTGTGGCAGGGAGGGAGGGAGGGAGGGAGGGAGGGAGGGAGGGAGGAGGAGGAGGAGCAGGAGGAGGAGTGAGGAGGGAGGAGGGAGGGAGGGAGGGAGGAGGAGGCAGGAGGAGGAGGAGGAGGAGGGAGCAGGAGGGAGGAGGAGGAGGAGGAGGAGGAGGGAGCAGGAGGAGGAGAGGCGGAGCAGGAGGAGGAGGAGGAGCAGGAGGAGGAGGAGGAAGGAGGAGGCGGAGCAGGAGGAGGAGGAGAGGAGCAGGAGGAGGAGGAGGAGCAGGAGGAGGAGGAGGAGGAGGGAGGGAGGGAGGGAGGAGGGAGGGAGGAGGAGCAGGAGCAGGAGGAGGAGGAGGAGCAGGAGGAGGAGGAGGAGGAGCAGGGCCCGCGGCCTCGCTCACCACGGCCTTCAGGTTGGACAGCTGCGTCTGGGGCCCGAACTTGGCCGTGGCCGGCGCGGCCGCAGGGGCGCCCTCGACCTCGAAGTAGTGGGCGCGGACCTGCCCCAGCGGGATGCCCGGGCCAGCGCGTCCCCGATCTCTGCCCCTCCTCCTCCTCCTCCTCCTCCTCCCTCCTCCCCCTCCTCCTCCTCTCCTCCCCTCCTCCTCCTCCTCCTCCTCCTCCCTCCTCCTCCTCCTCCTCCTCCTCCTCCTCCTCCTCCTCCTACCCCCTGGGGGCAGACCGTCGGGGGCCCGACTCCGAGAGCGGAGGACGGGACGGGCCCCGGAACGAGGACGATGACGATGCTCGTCGGATGGCACGGGCTCGGCACACGTCTTTGGGGTCGTTTGAGCGCCTCGACGACGACGATGCTCGTCAGGACGATGACGATGGCGATGCTCTGCGCTCGTGTCGACAGTCAGCCGTTCAACAAGGATGCACGATCAGGATGCAAGGGCCTCGGAGGGCCACGCCGACACTCTGCGAGCGGGGCGCGGCCAGCGAAAGCGGCGAAGGATGGGCCAAAGGGGAAGGATGCGAGGGCAACCTTGGAAAGCTGCGCAACCTTACTGTGCGGGTCCACTGCGTGGCATCGGGACAGCCCAGCGCTTCGGCAAAGCTGGGCTGGAGACTCCCTGCCCGGGCTCGCTTCGCACGAAGGCTCGTTCTGCGGCGGTCGCCGACGAGGGGCGCGAGCCCGACACGCCGCCGCGAAGCCGACTGGCCGCCGCGAAGCCGACCGGCCGCCGCGAGGCCGACCGGCCGCGAGGCCGCCGCCGCCGCCCGACGGGCCGACAGGCCCCCGCGAGGCCGCCCAGGGCGCGAGGCTGGCCGGCCGCGGAGGCGCCCACCGCGCGCGGGGGGGCCTCCCCGCTGCCGAGAGAGGGGGGGCGGGGTCGCCGAGAGAGGGGGGAGTCTCGGGCTCGGGCCTCTCGAGGGGGAAGCGGCCCCGACCTCCCTGGGGGGCCCGCGCATCGACTCAACTGGTGCGCCGGGTGTCCGGGGACGCCGCCCCCGCGGCAGCACCGCGGCGGGCAGAGAGGGCGACGTCCACCGCGGCCAACATCGGCCAAGAAGTGAGGGCGCCGACGGACAAGGCGAGACATCTGCGCCCTCCTCCCTCCACCCTCCTCCCTCCTCCCTCCTCCCTCCTCCCTCTCCCTCCTCCCTCCTCCCTCCTCCTCCTCCTCCTCCCTCCCTCCTCCTCCTCCTCCTCCTCCTCCTCCTCCTCCTCCTCCTGTTCCTCCTGATCGTCCTCCTGCATTACTCGCTCTTCACTCTTCATTCCTTTACTCTGTCTTACCTCGTGCCTTCTCCTCCTCCTCCTCCTCCTCCTCTTCCCCCTCCCCTTCTCCATCATCATCATCATCATCATCATCATCATCATCATCATCATCATCATCATCATCATCATCATCAGCAGCATCAGCATCAGCATCAGCATCAGCATCAGCATCAGCATCATCATCAGCATATCATCATCATCAGCATCATAACCATCATCAGCATCATCATCATCATCATCATCAACAACAGCATCATCATCAACAACAGCATCATCATCATCAGGCATCAGCATCAGCATCAGCATCAGCATCAGCATCCGGCATCATCATCATCATCATCATCATCATCAGCAGCAGCATTATAATCAGCATCAGCAGCATCAGCAGCATCAGCATCATCAGCATCATCAGCATCATCAGCTCAGCATCAGCATCATCATCACCATCATCATCATCATCATCATCATCATCATCATCATCATCATCATCATCATCATCATCATCATCATCATCATCATCATCCTTCTCACCTCCCACCCCCCATATCTCTCATCTTCTTCCTTCTCCTAAGTATCATCCTCGTCGGCGTCCTCCTCCTCCTCTTCCTCCTCCTCCTGCTCCTGCTCCTCCTCCTCCTCCTCCTCCTCCTCCTCCTCCTCCTGCTCCTGCTCCTGCTCCTGCTCCTCCTCCCTCCCTCCTTCTCCTCCTCCTCCTCCTCCTCCTCCTCCTCCTCCTGCTCCTGAGGCTCCGGGCCCGCGCAGGCCCCCCCAGATTGCGGAGCCCCCCGGAAGGAACCCAGGCCGCGACGGGGGCAGCCGTGCCCGCGGGGCGGCCACGATGGCCGGCGTGCCCCCCCGCGGCCGCGGGGGCTGGCGAGCGCGCCTGGTGCTCTGGAGCGTGGCGCTGTGTTTCGGCGCCGCCCAGCAGGAGAAGGAGGAGGAGGAGGAGGAGGAGGAGGAGGAGGAGGGAGGAGCAGGAGGAGGAGGAGGAGGAGGAGGAGGACGAGGAGGAGGAAGAGGAGGAGGAGGAGGAGGAGGAGGATGGTCGGCGTGGAGGAGGAGGCGATGGCGGACTCGAGGGAGGCCTTCATCTTCGTCTACAACCCGCAGAACCTCGTCGCGGCGGCGCAGGCCAAGGCAGTCTCGAGTGCGTTGAAGAGCATGGGGCATCCGTGCCTGGCATGGGGATCAGCACCGTCGTGCAGGAGCCCCCCGCCATCGCGTCATCCGCTTCGGCTGGTCCCGATCGGCGATGGTTAACAAATCTTGCGGGTGCTTCATCTTCCTGGCGAAGAGATATTTCGGCGTGCGTAGCATCAATTGGGCGTAACTTAACGGTTCGTTCGTTCGCAAGCCATGTCGCACGACACATCGGCTCAGCAGGGGAAAAATCCTTGCCGCGCAGGATAAGCGGCAATCGTATTTTACACCTAAGCAAATGCGGGGTCAATGGAAAGGCCATATTGTTTGACAATTGCTTTCCAGATTGGCTGTCTATGCGCTGCAAAACGAGGGTGCCTGAACCATGCACTTAAAGCTTCGTCTGGGGGGGGGGGGAGGCGGGAGAGGAGGGGGCGGAAGGGGCGGGGGGGGACGAGGACAAGAGGCCATCGCTAGCTTGGCCTGCTCCCAGACAGCCCGCGCCCACGTCAGACGAGGTCGCCCCCGCGCTCGAACGCCAACCGGTCGCAAAGGCACCGGCGAGCCTGGTGTCAGAACAGCAGCTCGTAGTGGAGACTGGTCTGGCTGGGAAGCGATCCGCCCGTAGACCACCAGTTGCCGCATCAATACTACAATGCTCAGTCGGTGCTGACGGGCTTGCCGCCGAACGTCCGCATTCGGCATGTGCGAGATCATTGAATGTGGCACGCCGTAAATGTTTCGGAGACACCGGGCCTGGAAGGCGTCGATCTTCTGCTCGTCAGCTTGGCGGAGGCAAAGCGTCTCCAAACTGTACATCAACTTCGACACCACGCACGCATTGAACATCTCAGTCTTCCTGTCACGCGCAATGTTCGCGTGTTTCAATACACTTTGCAACTGTTTGAAAGCAGCTGTGGCTT